AATTTGTACAGTGTCCCAACTTTTTTGGAATCGGGTTTGTAGAAGAATACAATGTTGCCTGATACAACACCAAATTTTAATGTGCTTCTATAACTTGCTAAACAAATGCTATAAGCAAATTACTGTAAATAACAGTAGGAGAACTGAAAGTACTAGAAAGTAAGCTAAAAATAGGTTTTCTAGCCCAATAAGGTAGTAACCGATTAATAATCCAATTATAAATAATGTTTTGAATGTTTGTAGATGGATAGACATTGCCCTAACCCACTCATACAGTATTAATTTTATTTGTGAAGGTCTTAAAAAGCCTCAAATTTGATTTAATAAATCCTGCAGATACCCTGGTAGATATAATGGTCTGGTTTCACTTCATTCATTGCAAAACCAGTTTTACCAGCACTGGTGAATACCTCATTTTTCAACTCTTGTGAAAGTCCATCAGCCTGATCCAAGGGAAATCCAGGCACCAGTTCGGTGGTGAGGACGTGCTGGCTGCTGAGTTCGTCGATTACCTCTGGCACGTAGAAGAAGGGGTGATCTTTCAGGAGTTCCCTGCCAAAAACCACAAAGCTTCTGAGTCACTGAGCATAAGTCAGCATCTCCGAAAAAGCATGCCACCCCGCACGTGCACCAAAGACAGGACGTGATGATGAACACACACACACACACACGTCTGCTTCTAAAGGGATGTGGGAAAATCCGAGACTCTATTCTCTGGGTGTGAGGATATCCACAATGAAGCCAAAAACGAGGGTACGTCAGCTTTAAATTATAGCTTGCCAAGTAATAATGGGTACGTCAGCTTTGAAATACAGTCAAGCTAGCTATTTGAAAATGTATCTAGCTACATGAAATATATATGCATGTTAGCTGCACACTTCTGCATTGCAAAGTAATTTTCTTCCTCAATATTTTTAGAAATGCATAAAAAAAATGTATGGTATATTTTCTTGAGACACAAAATGCCATAAGATAAAGTTTTCTTTTCTGAGAAATTATCAAATTTATTCCCTAAAATAAGAAAAATATCTACCAATGGGCTAGGAAAACTAAACTTCATTCAAAGGGAAAACAAGTTTATCTCTAATAGCAGACATTTTTTTTGTTTTAAACATAAAACGCACTTAGTTTTGACAAATTTCTTCAAAAATATTATTTTTGCATCTCAAATAAATGTATACTGATTTAAGAACATTTAGATATTTGTACTTGAAAACAAGACAAAAATACTGAATAAGAAAGTAACGTAAACACTACTGAATGATGACTAAAATGAACGATGAATCTTTACTGAACCGGTTCAACTGAGCCGTCGCCAAGCCTCGCCTTTATTTGTACAATTTATATTATTCTATTACATTCGTGTTTTCTATAAAACTACATTGCAAACACCATTTTAAGAAATCTTTAAATAAAGCTTTACTAACTTGACCAATTAGCAACTGTTTCCAGACTTCGATCTTTTGCTCTTTTCTAATCTAAGTCTACGGAGGACTGATAAGTTGGATAGTTACTGTTAAACTGCATTTAAAACTTTTCAAATAGATTGGAAATATAGATTCTGTGAGGTTATCAACAGTAAATCACAGATCATCTAAAGGGCAACTGTCCAAATGAACCAACTCAATAAAATCAATGGGGCTACCTGACAAAGAGCGGATATTCTAGAAGAAGTGTTTGATTATTTCCTCAGCTCTTTCGGATGCAAGGCTGTGTTTACACTACGTCAATACTTGCAGGAAACAAAAGTGTTACATCATTTTGAAAAGAGCTTATCTGCTGAACACTGAGAGTCTCATTGGTCTACTCAAAAGTAAAAGACACATCTCACCCTGAAGGCATGTACGTAACTATATCTCTCTCTTGGAACATGCGTTTCATTCTTCACCCTCCCTGTAAAGTCAGGGTCCCAGTAGAGGACAGGACATAGGGTACGGGCATGTTGTCAATGTTTATTATTTCCATTTGTGCTATATTTAAAATATGTCAGCACGCAAACGGTTCCTTAAGATCAAATCATTCAATCCCTGGCCTACAAGCTAGGTGGTTATTTTTAGCCCTGCGCTAAGGCCACAACGCTCCAGAGAAGCTGTTATATGAGGATACAGAAGTGAACAATCATTCTGAGCAGTTGTAGTGTTTATTTTCGTGTGTGTAAACCTTCCTTTCAAAGGCATTATGGTACAGGATAGATTTAGCTTGGGTATGAGGCACATGGCAGTCTTAAATGTCCTGTAGGCCGTCTATGAGCCCACAGCCGCCCGGGATTTTATAGAGGGGTAGATTAACATATAGAATGATGGGATGCTCTGAATTAGCAGTGAGAAAAATGTCTCCCGGTTGTTTTTGCCCACTCACTTGAATTTCCGAGCACACTTGGCTTCCCTTATGTAATCACACTCCAGCGCCAGCTCACGTCGCATCACATCT